ACATGCTGTCCTATACTGAAGAAGGTTAATGGTAGACTGACTAGTGAATGCATTGTAAACATAGTTAGCTATTGCTCCTGGAAGATCTTTCAGTTTAAATAACCTTTTTATGTCCTTTATCTTCTGTAGGATGCAGCAGCAGCTATCGATAACATGGTATGTGGATCACATTCCTGCACGCACATGCCAATGATGTTTTATCTCAATTATTTTTACCTAAAAATTCCACATCTGTGGATTTAATCAATGAAAGTCATGAAATAATAATATATAAAAAATATATAGATATAACTTAATTTGCAAGACTGAAACAAAAAAAGCAACATTTGAAATGAAATGTAATGTAAAGAATTTATTATTTTTTTCTTCAGAAAATATAAATTTAAAAAAATTAAAATTGGTGAATGGACAAGTTTCAATTCGAGGTTGTATTCAATAACCTGCATCTGTGGGAACACATATTGTATATGTGTAGTAAAAGTGTTTCCTTCGCTGCTCTTGATATAGCGTCACCTCTCAAACCAAACCCAGAGAGTGAACAGTAGCAGTAGAAGAATGAGTGTTTTCTGAAGACTTAGTGAACAGCAGTTTGTTGCAATGATGCTATATCAGCTGAGCGTCTGTCCTAGATCATATTCTGTTCAGCTAACTGGATTTTCTGAGGTGAGGCAGTCTGTACCACTGCAGAATAGAAGGACACCTGTAACCATGGTAACTGCACACAAAGGTGGATGACAGTTGTGCCCTCAAAAAATTGGGACGACTTGATCGCTGGAAAGGTAGTGCATGTACCACACAGATGCATAAGTCTTGAGTAGCAAGTCCCCGGTTCGACTCCTAGTTTGCTGTGTGTCATGCTGCAACTCTCTCACCCTGTGTCCTGTCTATCCCTAATTATCTCTGTTAAATAAAGGCAAAAAACAGTACACCTAAAAAAGACAAAAAGGAAAAATACATTATAAAAATGTGATACACCTGTCACTTATGAAACTACACTAAAATCTCTGGTTTTGTTGAATGAAATCAGACTAAAATTAATGCACATTTTTTTCAGAAGACTCAGATTAAAACCAGCTGCAAAAAAAAATCACCCTCTTGATATGAATGTTTTTTTTGTATTCATCAGAATGAGTCTGAGCTTTTTGGTCGCACTGTCCGAGTCAACATCGCCAAACCCATGAGAATCAAAGAAGGTTCATCTCGACCAGGTGATTATTGAAAACCTGTTCACTGATGACTTCACCTCTGCAGTGATTTTAAATCCACAGGTTTGATCTTAACTGTGCTTTCCCTCAGTGTGGTCGGACGATGACTGGCTGAAGAAGTTCTCAGGGAAGACTTCAGAGGAGGCTGATGCTGAGGCAGCAGGTGGAGAAACAACCACCACGGCAACAGAGGAGGTGACAGTTCATACCTGGTCTTGGTGTTACTGACCGTAACCTAATTAAGATGGTAAATGAAGTAAGGTTTTTTTTTTCCCGTAGGCTGAGCCTCCCGCTAAGAAAGGCAGAGTTAATCCTCAGGTCTATATGGACATCAAGATCGGCAACAAGCTGGCAGGGAGACTACGCTTCCTCCTGCGGGCGGACATCGTTCCCATGACAGCAGGTGTGTATGCAGTGTCCTGAGAGCACTCACATGTACTCTTTGTTTGGGGGTTTAATGGGGGATGTGCCTGACGCTTGCTGCTGGTGCAATCACAACCAATCAGTTTCCAATTCAGGACACACAGTATAGCTGCCTTTTAGTGTTAATGTCACAATCTTCCTGTCCATGCAATGCTGAAGAAATGTACCTACAACAAACTCAACAACCAGATCAACACACACCAAGTTCACACACTGACTCTGCCTCATCTCGTAGTTACGTGTCAGACAGGACTTTCAGTTGCATGAAATTGATTTGATTGGCCACTGCTTGCACTTGAGGATGTGTTTAAACCTGATATATTTGGCCCCTACCTGTGCTGAAGCTTGAAAAATTGAGCTTGTCTTAACTTTTCTTGACACCGGCTTAGATAAATGAGCAGCTTCAACCTTTTCAGAAAGTTGATGTGTGTGAATGCTCAATAACATTCCATCTTTAAAAAAAACAAAACAGAAACAACTCATGCTTAGTTTATTTGCATAAAGACGTTAATAAATCTGTGCACCTCTAAAATAAAAATCACAGGTACCTAAATGAAACTTCTCTTTCTGAATAGAAAGTATAACTTAAAAAAAAATAATAATAACACAAATATCTATTCTCACATCTTGTTTAGAGAACTTCCGCTGCCTGTGCACACATGAGAAAGGCTTTGGCTTCAAGGGCAGCAGCTTCCACCGCATCATCCCTCAGTTCATGTGCCAAGGAGGCGACTTCACCAACCACAACGGCACCGGTGGCAAGTCCATCTACGGCCGCAAGTTTGATGACGAAAACTTTATCCTCAAACACACTGCCCCAGGTGAGGCGTTTTGTAATCAGCGCTTAGAGCGTGTGGGGAGGTCTGTGAGTGTGAGGCCTGTGGTTTGTGTTTACTAGTAGATCCTGTGGGTGACTGGTTAAATCCATGTCTCTTGTGCTCACAGGGCAGCTCTCCATGGCCAACTCCGGCTCCAACACAAATGGCTCTCAGTTCTTCATCACCACTGACAAAACGGACTGGCTGGATGGCAAACATGTGGTGTTCGGCGAGCTGGTGGAGGGGATGGACGTGGTCCGTGCGATGGAGGTAAAACATAAATGGCTTAATCTTACCAAGATGAGTAAAGGGCTATAATAAGCATCAAACTAGGTCACTCAGTAAAGCATATACCTCCACCAATGTTCAACAGTTCCCTTGTGAAACCAAATTCAAATTCACTAGATCCAGATTTTGCAGTAGATAAATAGTGATAAAGATTAGCTATTGTTCATATAAAGACTAAGTTTCAAAAAATGAGACACTGTTTGGAACATGTAAGTGAATTAGTGCCCATAGCTGTTGTACACTGCACTTAAAAGACCTTAAAAGAATGAAACGTTCACTTTGGACCGTGTTTGACATGACGCCATCGAAGATTACCATGAAAATATCTGCTCTGCCAAAACAAAGAGGCAGGAATTCAAATTCTCCTATGTGCTGCATAGTCTCTGTTTCTAGCTGCTAGCTAGTTTATCAACATGGGGAAATGTAAGTTGGACAAAAAGTGGCTTGAGAATGACTCATTGTGGTGGTTAAACCCAGTGCCTGGAAGAACAAACTGCAGTGTCAAAGGTCTTTCAAATTTGGGACAATGAAGATGAAGGATGGTGGAGTCTAAAGGGCATAAATGTGTTTACTTGGAACAAATTCACCTTTGGTATTTATTGGCATGACTTGTTTGGTGTTAAATTTAATCTCAAATGGTTTAAAAAAGGTTTTAACTTGTTTATACCTCTGAACACTCTGCTCTGTAGAAAAGTTGTGTTGTTGTGTTACTGTGACCAAAGTCAGTTATATTGTGATAAGGAAGTGTAGATTTCAAAGTGAATTAAATTTTCTAGTCGACTGAAATGATCTTCTCTCTTCAGGCTCAGGGGAACAAAGATGGGAAGCCGAAGCAGAAAGTGATCATCTCAGACTGTGGAGAATACGTGTGAACGCGTGGGAGGCCTGCGCCTGACGTTTTTTGTTTGTGTATGTAAAGGCAGTGTATGTGTGAGAGCATGAGTGTGTTCATGGTCTTTGAAGCCACATCTTCTGTCATGTAAATATTTCAATGAACACTGTTTTCTACAGCTTGACTGTCAAATTTTTTACTTATTAAAAGTTACATTTTGATAACGACTTGTTGGTTTACTCCTTTATTGTAATATATCTATAAATCTTTTTATAACACATACAGTTAATTATTTAGGTGGAGTTTAGAGTTGTTTTATAATGAGAATATTTGTCTAGTTCAGTTAGTATTTTTCTTAATTATTTAGAGCTATTCCAAAGAAACATGTCAAACCTGAGAGTTCATTCTACTGGTCTAAAGGTCCAGTGTGTAAGATTTAGGTGAAAGGGATCCATTGGAAGAAATTGAAATTATAAAATAATCCTTGTGACGTTTTCACTTGTGTTTCATCTAAATGTACAAATTGTTGTTTCCTTTACCATAGAATGGACCTTTTATATTTAAATACTTTATATTTACATCAGGAGCGGGTCCTCTCTATGGAGACCACCATGTTTTTACCAGTAGCCCAAACCTGACAAACTAAACACCCTTTGAGTTTTAATGACAACAGAAGGCAACCACAGGTTCTCTGTCATGTTTGGAAGGTGAGGTGAGGGCTGTTCAGCTGCAACGTGCAATTTCACCACTAGATGTCACTTAATTCTACACACTGAACCTTTAATGTAAAAATTAAAAAATAAATTCAAGCAAATAATTAAAAACTTTTTTAGTTCAGTCAGTATTTTTCCAGTTATCTGTAGAGCTATTCCAATGAATAAAAAAATATAATAAATTATAATATTTTCAACCTGCTTATTTTTTTTCTACTGATTTCATGCAAATAAATTAACTTGAAGAAACACTACTAATAATAGTAAAACATAACAAACAACCATACTTATAATAATTATTTTTTTTATTTCAGTAATTTTTTACATTACAATTTAAAACATAATATTTTCAAGTGTATTTTTGATCATTTTCAGTTAGTATTTGTTATGAACAGCTTTTCCAAAGATGTAAAGTTATTATTTTTATTCAGTCAATATACTCCATTATAATTAACAATGGTTATATATATTATTAATATAGAATTAATATTATATAGAATATAATAATATTCATTATTCTGATCTCGCGGCAGGACGTCTACATTTACACTTTTACTGTACTACAAATGTATAAAACCTTGTGTGTGTGTGTGTGTGTGGGGGGGGGGGGGTCAGTTCTCTCATGGACCTGGTGGAGGGAGGTGATAGTTGGAGCAGCCACACCTGGACAGATGAGACGACACAGCAGCCGAACAGCAGCTCCACCCACCGCCTCACTCACTCACACACTCCCTCTCCGCCGTGCTGTTGAGAAATGCTGGATCTCTGAGCGCAGAGCTTCATCCCAATCCTGTTCCTCCGCTTCGACACTGAGCCGCGACCAGAAGTTTGAACTGTGAGTATTCACGTTCAGTTCTTATTAACTGTGTTTAACAGTAACTCGAACTTGTTGGAATTCACTCGTTTGTGGACGTGGGCATTTTGGATACGCGTAATTGCGCACGGTTGTAGAAACTTGAGAGCGGGAGCGAAGTGAATGTGTGATTTGAGGAAAAGTTGTGTGATTGTGTCTCGGTACAGCGACGAATTAGGACGATCTTGCTAACTTAAACATACATTATTGAGTTTTTGTAAAACAGCTAAATCACTTTTTTGCTCATTTTGCTCTTTTTTCTCCGTCTGTCTTTTCTTTTTTTCTCTTAAGACATGTAAACACGTGACTTCTTTTGATAATGAACCAGTTCCGCCTCAGTTTTAATCTTTATAACATATCTGTTCTCTTCCCTTGTTTCAGGCTGGTACATTTCCAGAGTATCTCCTGTCTTCCATCAACAGGAAGAGAGGACAGACTGTGAACAGACCTCGTCATGAACTGGGCATTCCTCCAGGGCCTCCTCAGCGGAGTGAACAAGTACTCCACCGCCTTCGGTCGAGTCTGGCTCTCCATCGTCTTCCTTTTCCGGGTCATGGTGTTCGTGGTGGCGGCGGAGAAGGTGTGGGGTGACGAGCAGAAGGACTTCAAGTGCAACACGGCTCAGCCCGGCTGCCACAACGTCTGCTATGACCACTTTTTCCCCGTCTCCCACATCCGACTGTGGGCACTGCAGCTCATCTTCGTCACTTGCCCCTCACTGCTGGTGGTGATGCACGTCGCCTACAGGGAGGACAGGGAACGCAAGAACCGAGACAGGTATGGCGAGAACTGCCGCCGCCTCTACGAGAACACTGGCAAGAAGCGTGGGGGCCTGTGGTGGACCTACGTCCTCACTTTAGTCTTCAAAATAGGAGTGGACGCCACCTTTGTCTACCTCGTCTATCACATCTACGAGGGCTACGACTTCCCATTGCTCATCAAGTGTGAGCAGAAGCCGTGTCCCAACAAGGTGGACTGCTTCATCGCCCGGCCCACCGAGAAGAGGATCTTTACCGTCTTCATGGTGGTCACCAGCCTGGTCTGCATCCTGCTCTCCATTTTTGAAATTGTCTACCTGATTGGCAAACGCTGCCATGAATGTGTCAGCACGATCCATCACACTCGCCATGCCTTGACGGACAAGATGTCCAGCGGCAGCACCTTGATGGAGGCGAACACTTTAAAGATGAGAAGTGAAAACACCCCAGAAACACCTGCGCCCTCATACAGTGTCGCCATATCTTGAGATACTGGGGAAGGACTTGTGAAAAAAAAGAAACAGAGACACGAGAAAGGAGAGTTGCTCCACAGGCGCCTCCTTAAAAGACTTGGCAGCTGACATTGCTCACAGACTAAACTACGATGGAGTTACTTCCTGACTGTTCCTGGGTCCAGAGGAATCCTAGACCACAACACCAATGTTTCAGTGATCACATTCCCAATCACTGCCTTTTGATTCGATTTTTTAAACACATTGAAGCTCTACACTACAGCCCCTGAAAAGAAAAAAACGAATTTGTTTTATCCAGCCTACATGAGTCACCCTGTGGTTTGGAGAGTGCACATGTGGTTCTCTGTGTAAGATTTTCCTTCTGCTTGTGCCCAGCCTCAGAGCATTCAACGCAGACTGTACTGTGTCTTTTCCCCTTCTCTCGCGTGTCCGGATGTCTTCTTGTAAATATTGTACTTCTTTGTAATTTATCAAAAGTCTTGAGAGATTGTGTTGTTGTGTAAATGCAGCTTTTGAAACAGTTGTTGATATCAGGGTTTATTTTATTGGCTGCAGAGTTGTTCACATTCTTTTCATTAAAGATGATTTTTATGTTTTGAAAATGTGTTGTTTTTTTCATGAGATCCACTCACACAGTAGTTGTTTCTAATAAACAGAAGAATCTTGGCACAGACCAATGTGAAGCTGCTGCCTCTCTGGAGAAGAGCATGTCGAGTCCGCAGCTGCGGGTTGGACCAAGGTCTCACACTTTCTTTCTGCCTCCACTTTTTCCATGTGTTCCGTAAAAAAAAAACACTCCCTCCCTCCCCACTGGCCGTACCAGATCGCCCTGTTGCTATGAGCGGCGCCCTCATTGTCTGGCTTGATTGGTACTTAGAGGAGGGCAGAGGAGGAGTCTCCCACCCCTCTGATTCATCTGCCCTGATGTGCGGAACCACCCAGCACAGGAATTTGACCGTCTGTGCTGCCTCTGAATGAATGATTTCAGTATTTACACTGCAACATGCCAGGGGAGAGTAAAAAGATGTGTTGTATACTCATGGTGGATGTTTTTCAATTGTGTCCACAGAGGCTTTTGAGATTTCTTCTTCTGAAACCTCAACTAGAACATCAGCCGAGTGAAAGTGAATATATTTTTACTTGATGTCTATAAATATCAACATTTAGAAACTCAATCTGTACTGCCAATGAAACCTGTGAACAAATGAGGCCTGTGGAGCATCACAGTAATTAATAGTTACAGAACTCAACTTGTTTACCTACAGTGTTTTGGAGTGGCAGCTCAAACATCACAGCCTATACAGATGAAACCAAAATACTGGAAATACAAGATACCACAGAGTGTAGATGAGAACAAGAATGCGTGTGTGTGTCTGCGTGTTTGTGTGTGTGTCTCTTCCACACCGACCTCTGCACTACTGGAGGAAATGTTCAAACGGCCTCTAGGCTCTGGACATGAAGAGTTAATTAAGCAAAATAAATTATGTAATATAAACAGGCCCCAACATGTGCAGCTCTTGTTTACCACTCCATTATGAAACCACTCCCATCTCTTCCTGAGTGTTATCTGTCCTCTTCGTCCCAGCTTTCTCTGCTGTTGGTACGTTTCCTTCCTTTCACAGCAGCAGCAGCATAGGTTGAAAAGCGAGGTGTTTATTTCAGTCGCGTTGCTCTCTCCTGTTGAGACCTGCCACCAGGTAGAGGTTGAGTCATGGGGTGCATTCCTGCAGGTGTGTCCCAGGAGACTGCCTGGACCAGTTGCTCATCTAAAGCCAGCTCTCCCCCCCCCCCCCCCCCCCCTTGTGCCATTTGAATGCTCCTCTCGTCTTCGAGGCCGCTCTGAATGTGGCACCTACAGATGCTGTGTTCAGATGAAAAAGAACAACTGGCCGCTGATATTTCTAACATTGTTCTGAGAGTTGTAGCTCATAGCTGCCAGACTTAGAGAGGAGGTGTCAGCAGTCAGTTTTATAGTGGCATTTTACACAGATGGAATCACATCCATTCTACCTTTTATATTTATACACAGATGGAGTAAAATGCATAATGTTTTATTCTGATAACATACAATTGTTCCATTATATCCACACAGAATTCTTCGTTCTCCCTCGTCATCCCATTAGTGTCTCATACACATGTCACTTCCTCCCCGGACTCCTTGTGCCTTGTCGTTGCAGATCCAGGATCACGGCTGCGGCCACATCGTGAATTGTTATGGAAGATCATGGTGGAAGCTGATCATGGATTATGATACCACTGCTTATGTATACAATATGCCTACTCACATATGCTGGTATTACCGGCCATACGGGTCACATGGTTTTTTTTGTAAATCAAAGTTGTATTTTATTCTTTTATCACTGTATTTATCTTATCGTTATTATTGTCTGTCTTTATTGCTTCATCTATATTTATTTATTTATTTATTTTAATTTATTTATGATTTAAACTATTTATGGAGCTTCCCAGCAAAAGATTTTCACTTGTTTGTATTGTTTAAAGTGTGACAAATACACACATTGAATTTTGAATCTATGTCTCAATGTCAAATAGGAATTCATCTTGATCATCAAGTTACTTTGCAATAGAATGCACGTGGGATCGGCTGTTATATCACATGTTTGTGGAAAGTTAGACTTTTTGGGCTTGGTCATGAGCATAAAAGACCCATTGAGATGTCACTGCAGTGAGAAATACAAATAAACTTGACTGGACTTGAGGCCGGTGATATGTGAACACCTTTTTTTACATTGTGTAAACACGGGAGTCGATAGATCTGAATGCAGTCACCGCTCTGCAGGAACATGCAGGTGGCGGCACAGCGAGGAGATATTTGATAATCCTCACAGCATCTGGGGGCTTACAAACGTCTGCAGACACTCCTGATAATAGGCTGTTCATCCTACAAGACAAGATGGTGAGCTTCACAAATGTTAACTGCAAGTTGTCAGAAAAATAGGTTTATGGTGAGCACAGATTTTAAAAAATGGAGCTTATAAGGATGCGTTTGAGCTAACTGTGAGTTCATGAATTGTGTTATTTGAGTAGGGCCTTGTCTTATAAAGAAAAGAGGAAATACAATACAGCCTTTGGGCTCCCCGGGGGAGTAGAGGTTGAACAGAACATCATAACAAGTGCAGGAAATGAATGAAAGAGGAATGGAGGAAATAAATCTAGAAAAATGATGACAGATTTCCACCTGTCTACCCTCCACCTCACCTTTATCAACACGGCCCCCTCACATCATCTCAGGAAATATGTTGCCTAGCACTCCTCAAACTTTGGAAACATGTGCATCATAAAAATGCTTTAACTTCAGGGTGTGTCAGCCTCTTACGTATGGTACATGCTGCAAAACAAGTTGAGACAATGACAATGGGTTGTGTTCCTGGAAACATGGCGCAGCAAAACAATACAGCCAGTCACCCCTAAAACTTTTTTAAAAGGACAGTCACCTTTTTTTTTAAATGCTGAATTTAACCAATGATAAAGAGACATATGCTATTTGTCAGTACAGAATTCTACACATCTGAAATACATGTATGGAGATGATGAACACATAAACATAACACATATATTTGAAATATCAATTTAATTGTGAGTTAAAACTAAAATGTTCCTCAGGGCACTCCATTGGGTCCCATGGTGGTTCCCACATTACCCACCACAGTTCTGAACCAATGTGTGGTCTCAAAATCACAAAGGCTGTGATTGGTTCTCTGGCCCCGAAACCTTATACTCCATGTGTAGACTTCCTCTCCATCTCCAGTTCCAAGTGCCAGGAGATGGTTTGTGTGCACTTTAGTTTTAACATACGTGCATATTCCTATTTGAATAGTCACTGAACTCTGGCATGTGAGGAGAGAAGAGAGAGCGAGACAGAGAGGGAGGGAAGTAGAGAAAGAAAAAAAAAGGGTGCTCTTCTGAGGCAGCTCCAGTCTTTCTTCTTTAACCCCACCCACGGGCGCATTTCTCAACACTGGCGTTCGTCTACCTGACGCAAGGGACTTTCATCTGTGCGTTAAAGGACTAAAACGACTTTAAAACAGGAATAAATAAGTGGAAATATATCTAATCAGGCGTCTTTGAACCCAATATGAAGTAAAGCATCTGTCGGTGAGTAGAAAAAACTCTTCATGACGAACTTTTTTGATGTGTCCCGAGATGAGTAAAGCTTCTGAACTTTCTCCGGTCGCGTTTCAGCCATTTGGAAACGAGAGTTTTAGATTCTGTTGATTCGTTGTCTTTAACACAGCAGAAGCAGTGGCAATGATTTAATTACGTGATGTTGAGGAGACCGTTTGTACATAAGGAGCCAAACTGGCCACGAAAACGACCAAATGACGCACGGGATCTGTGCGTAAAAGGCGTAAAAGATGGTTCAGATGATACTGTTTACTCGTATTTTACATATTGACATAGAAGATTTAAAGTATTAACAGTATTTTCTCCAAACAAACTGAGTTATGTTAATAACGTTGTTCAAACGTGTTTCCTTCATGACTGGTTTGACTCCAGCCCTCCTCCTCCTCCTCCTCACTGTGTGTTATTGTAGTGAGTTCATTTAAGATGGAGCTGAGAAATAAGTTCTGGGAGGAATGTTTTCACATTAAATCTGGTTTGGAAGACATGTTACTGATTCAAAAAAATGTCAGAATAAAAAGTTATGTGTTATTATAGAGAAGTGAAGCAGCACTAACTGACGTTCACTGAGTAAAAGCAGGACAATGAAGCAGACAGTGACAACATGTTCATTCATTTTTCATTCTGCCATTTCCAGGTTTGAAGATAAACTACGACTAGAGAAGAATTCCATTTTTGACTTTCAGGCAAGGACATGGACTGGAAGACTTTCCAAGCCCTCCTCAGTGGGGTGAACAAATACTCCACGGCCTTCGGGAGAATATGGCTGTCTGTGGTGTTCGTGTTCAGGGTGATGGTGTATGTGGTGGCGGCGGAGCGAGTTTGGGGCGACGAGCAGAAAGACTTTGACTGCAACACCAAGCAGCCCGGCTGTGCCAACGTCTGCTACGACCACTTCTTCCCCATCTCCCACATCCGCCTGTGGGCCCTGCAGCTCATCTTCGTCACGTGCCCCTCCTTCATGGTGGTCATGCATGTCGCCTACCGTGACGACCGCGAGCGCAAGCACCAGGCCAAGCACCATGACAACACCAAGCTGTACAGTAACACAGGTAAAAAACATGGCGGCTTGTGGTGGACCTACCTGATCAGCCTCATCGTGAAAACGGGCATCGAGGTCTCCTTCCTCTACATCCTCCACTGGGTGTACGACAGCTTCTACCTGCCGAGGCTGGTCAAGTGTGAGGTAGCGCCCTGCCCCAACCAGGTGGACTGCTACATCGGCCACCCCACAGAGAAAAAGGTCTTCACCTACTTCATGGTCGGCGCCTCGGCCCTCTGCATTGTCCTGAACATCTGCGAGATGGTCTATCTCATCTCCAAGCGCGTCGCAAGGTGCGCGAACAAGATCAAGAGGCGCCACCGCCACGTACCCGTGCTCCAGGACGACTTCAATGACGACCCCTTCAACAACTGCAGCCAGCCGGTGTCGAGGGAGGACATGAAGGGCCAGCCGGTGTCGAGGGAGGACATGAAGGGCCAGCCGGTGTCGAGGGAGGACATGAAGGGCCAGCCGGTGTCGAGGGAGGACATGAAGGGCCCGCCGGTGTCGAGGGAGGACATGAAGGGCCCGCCGGTGTCGAGGGAGGACATGAAGGGCCCGCCGGTGTCGAGGGTGGACATGAAGGACAAGCCCCCGTCCTTCAGGTCTGCGTTCAAGTCTTCACACAGACCTTCCATGTTGAAGCTTGAAGATAAGACATATATGTCTACTCCCAACCTGAGCATTGCTTCATGATCAGGAATCAGGACAAGCTCAGTGGAGTTTAGGTCGAGAACCTAATGACAAACTTCCAAAATAACGCAGACTCACAGTTTGGAGCAAAGCTACAGTATGAGTAAGACTCTGGAAGCTGAGTCATCACAACTGGATACCATCCTGTGGGCCCCTGTGTCCACATCTAGAGACTCTTTAGGAGCATGAACTTTGGTTTCCAAGCCAACATTCATAATATTTACTGGCGATTTAGAGCCAAATGTACGTGTTCATGATAAGTGAGGTTCCTTTTTGAATACAATAAAGGTCGTTTCGAGCTTCACCCTTTCACCCTCTATAAGAACTAATCAGTAAAATTTCACTCATTTTGTCCTGGGATAGGAGTTTTGACACAGGAAGGAAACAAGGCCTGTGCGTACAGCGACAGGACACACCTGGCAGAGGTATTCACCCTCCCTGCCAGTGTTGACAGTGGTGTGTCAGGGTGCTCTGTTGTCACTGGCATATTCCAGTGATCTCTTTTGTTTTATTCAAACTTAGGTCATGGCTTCATATGACATGTTCCGTATCCCGATGATCTCAAGTGTCGAGGCTCCCTGAGTCCTGCAGTTATGGCTGAGTAATACTTGAAGATGTGCAAACTGGCCCAAAATGACTTTGTTATTATCGCATGTATTCTCTTGGACAAGATTAATGACAGCAACCGGAATCGAAATGTAGTATGCTGTGTATTTCTTTGTCTTACATCCTGTGCAGACATTTGCTCACAGCTCTCAGGTTTATGCTGCCAAAGCCACAAGTTGCTGAGACTGCTGACATCCTTGTGCACAACCTCGCCTCATGAGACCACTGTTGATTTAAATTAGGTGAAAGGAATGCTGCTGTTTGACTCTGTTGCTGGAGCTGGCACACAGTGGCGGAGGTGGGAGGCAGCTCGGACGAAACGCACTGCTCACTGAACTATGACGTGATTTGTGAGTCAACAATCGTCGCACATCAGCTGGAAATGTATTTTCTGCCCTTGTTACCAATGTTGTTGTTTTTTATATAAAATTGAATAAATTAAGTTTAAATGTATTGAATGTGTCTCTCTGTTTTGAGTTACAATGGTTAGTTGTGCTTATTTTCAGAATATTTGCTTTTAGAAAATTGTTTCAGATTTATAAACACATTAGCAAAAGATTAATGACATTAAGTTCAACAGCCAGATTTCTAGAGAACCAAACATTCTCTCGAAACATAACACAAACACAGCCTTCACTCCCCTGATACTATCTGATCAGTAAGGAGCTATGTTTCCATTGCTGTTGACTCATAACTAAATGTCCTGCCCCAACAATCAGCCTTTAATCATTTTACATTGCTGTGAATCATTGTGACGAGTTATTTCTCCGTCTGTCCTCCCTGTACGGCTGCAGAGGCATTCAGGAAGAATTTGAGTCTGCCTGTCAGACTCGTCAGTCTGGTTCCTTTGAGGTGCGGCAAAGAAAGGTTTTTGTTTAGTTGGAATCATTTCCGCAACAAACTGTCAAATCATGATGAAGACCTTAAAAGATTTAAGACTCTCACATTAGTTCCTTATATGGTCAACGATGGTTTGAGTCCATTTCACCTCCGCAAAGGAGGTTATGTCCTCGATCATGTCCGTTTGTTTATTGGTTCGTTTGTATATAAGCAAGATCACTTGAAATTAAAAGGACAGATTTCCATTAAACTTAGTGGGAGGATGCAGTATGTGTCAGGGAAAGAACATACAATTTTAAAAATAAGTTCCTGAAAATAGTTCCTGGGTCCACCCCATTCAGGAACTTATTTTCACTTTCCTTAACATTGCGAGATGGGACATTTTTCGGTCTTCATCACGTACACTCAGACTCTATAAATTTAAAAAAAATTTTAATTATACATCAACGACACACTTTGTTATTGAAATCATGTTTATTTTTAAAAATCACATCTAGTAGCATATGTACAGGCTTTTCCAAATAAATACTTAAACATATTAAAGAAAAACAGGAATCCAGCATATTTACCACAAAAATAATCTGTGGAGTAGAGCCCATTCCTGTTGTTTCACAAACCAACACAATGCCCTGATTCATTAGGACTGTCAACTGTGAGTTTATCCACTATTGGACACAGTTTGTTTTATTATTATCTTTACTAAACTTTATCTTGCCCACTGTTCCAGTGATGTAAGCAAACTATTTATTAATATAAAAGAAAAAAGGGCTTGGCTTTTGAAAGGTAGCTTGTGTATGATTAGACTGACTTTACATAAGGCACTGTTCCAGCGATGCTTTCATGTAGTGGTAATCTAATCAAGTACTTTGTTTTGTAACAGAGAATGGGGTCAGTTACATTCAAATATTGATATAATATTCTGATACAAATCAAATTTAAATAGAATAGAATGGAACGTACAGAAGACCACGGCTTGTGATCGGGCTGTCGTCTACAGTTTGCATGTGGCCTGTGCCACTTTGGAGCTGGTCTTTCTGTTGAGGCTTCGACAGATGAAAGCTCCGGCCGACATCAGCTTGGAGAGGTCCACTCCCTGAGGTGAGGACAGAAAGTCAGACAATCAAGATTCAAGCATTTTAGGAGGTTTTTAGCTCATGTTAAAAACACAACAACAAGAACTGCTAACTAAATTATGATGGAACAAATAGCCACTGATGCATCTGTAATCTCCAATATAAAGGAAAAAAGGACTGGGGAAGCTAAAGGCCATGTTCACACCTGGCACATCTGTCCAGAGAAATCTGATCATAAATGGACAAATGGACAGCTCAAAGTTCCTCAGTTTCATTTAAATTTGTCCTGAATGTGTCTCCTGCGATTGGATCTCGCTTCGTGCTTTATACAAACAGATTATGTAATTTTTACCCAGTTTGGGTTTACAGACGTGTTTGTTGTCACTTTGTTTGTTGGTGCAGTTAATAGAACGGGGCCATGTGCGTCCCCGAACCACCTCCAAATGTGCTCTGGTGATCGGATCTCAAGACGCATTGAGAGGCATTATGGTGCGTTCACACCCGTACTTTACACTGACCACTCAGGATAGATGTGAATACCAGGTCTGAACGGGGACAAAGAGAAAAGAAAAGGTGGTGTTTTACTGTTTGAATCCCGAGTCCATGCAACATATAGACGACATCTTCCGTAGCAACATTCCCAGAAGCCCCCTGGGCATAGGGACAGCCACCCAGTCCAGCTACTGATGAGTCAACCACACTGATTCCCAGCTGCAAAACAGAGACAATATTTACTTGATCTAATAATTAATCATTCACCTGCAAATCATAACATCAACTTCATTCATAAAATGTTCTGGTGTGAACAATCAGAGGCACTTCTGACCTGTAGGGCAACAAGGATGTTAGCCAGGGCTTGGCCATAGGTATCGTGGCAGTGAACTGCCAGGGCGCTGACTGGCACCTCTTTTGTCACCGCCGTTAACATCTGAGTCATGCTACCTGGAGTCCCCACTCCAATGGTGTCGCCTAGGGAGATCTCATAGCAGCCCATGGAATAAAGACGCTTCGCTACCTGCAAGACAGAGAAGCTTGAGCTTATGTGGTTATTTTATTTGTGCTCTTGTCAAAGGGTTATAAAAAAAGATTTGACATAATGTAAGCATATATTAAGTGAGAACTCACATGTGCAACTTTTTCAGGTGCCACTTTTCCCTCATATGGGCATCCAAGAACACACGACACGTAACTGTGAAGACAAGAAAAATGTGGATGGTACTTGTGTGAGAATTAAATTGAGATCAAAATGATTTAATGGGTTGTTAACAGCCGAGCGCCAGCCATTGCTCCTACCCTCGAACTGGCACACCAGCCTCTTTAGCTGCTTTCATGACCTCGTCAAAGCGCTGTAAACTCTCCTCCACGGTGCAGTTTATGTTCTTCTTGCTGAAAAGCTCAGACGCAGCGCCAAATATGGCGACCTCTGCAGCTCCTGCCTTCACCTGTGGTATGTGAGAGCAAGGGAAAGGGAAGTTTAGGGGAAAGTTTACCTCAGTTGTGAAACTTTTAGATTTGTTTACAGTACACACAGTGTAACATCCGGGTTTAGTTTAAGATGGGAAAGGATACAATCAGCATGATGTGATTGAAATGTGACACCAACGTGTTATTTTCTTCTTCTGTGATTTGACAGTTTAGATGCTGGTACCGCACATTTTATGCATGATGAACATTAAACTTCCAAGTGTTGGCACATATACTGCATAGAACATATGTGTATATATTGTTTTTTACTTGGCAACAACATGCAACGAGATTTTTTTCTTCATAGTGTGCAAATTGCAACACTGGCAAGACAACAAGGTACTAAGATGGCCTCTCGGTTTCTGGCGCATTCAGGACACCGAACATGATTCACTGAGGAAAAAAAAAAATCATGAAGACAATCGCCTTTTTAAAGGGTTTACCTATGTGTAACACCCACAAATTTTGGTGTTAAAGAAGTATATTAGTTGAGTGTGTTGAAATGAATTAGTTGACACTCACAGCAGCCTGGAAACCCTTGAGGTTGGGGGTAAGGACTGGATACGACACTCCAGGTTTCCTACCAATCCCTTTCATCACCTCCACCTGATCTGCCATCTAACATAAAAGCACAGAAACCAATTAGCACAGCGAGAACAAGCCTCATTCTTTACCCAGTACTGCGGTTTCTGTCCTGCCCTCTGTTGGGTGTGTGCAGCACTGTGCATGTGAATAGCTCTGGGACAACACCCTCACCTGTGGGACCCACTTAGGGGACACAAAGCTGGTGGCCTCGATGACAGGCAGCCCGGACTCTGACAACAAGTCAATCAGGTGGATTTTTGTCTCTGTTGGCACGATAGTCTGAGAGTGGGAACAGCAGAACAACAACAACAATGAGGAGCACTGACACCAGAGCATGCTTGGAATTGTTCTGGTTGCACAACACATGACCTGTGCACCTGCTTCACCTCAGTGCAACAGGAGGAAACTGTGTTGAATCTTTGCCAGGCTCAGTAAATAATAATATCAAGAATGTTACCTTCTCATTCTGAAGACCATCTCTGGGTCCCACCTCCACTATTTTCACCTTCTCTGGAAGAACTTGACCTGCTTTAACACCAGCCTACACACACACACACACACACACACACACACACACACACACACACAGACAGACAGACAGACACACATTAGCCAGTTAGCACCAGGCCGTGTTGTAGCTAAGTGAACCGTAGGTGTCTTTACCAGCAGCAGGATAAATAACCACACTAACACCAGTAATGATACTGCGGGACTCTCTGACCTTCGCTGCGGAGCTGAACGTCAGGAACTGTTGACCCATCGCGGAACTTATCGCGCTTCTGTTGACAAGTCTCACGATGGCCGCCATGTTGGTCCTGCTTCCGGGGGGACGTCACCTCTTCCTCGGCGGAGCCACACAGTCCTCACAGAGGTGTCAAGGGCGACATCTACAGGCCGGAAATGAAAACTATTTTTTGAACTAGAGTGGCAGCAGAATCATAGACTGTTTGTAAAAGAGAGTAGAATACAGAGCTCTTCTAACTGTGTCCTTATGAAACCACATTTAAATCCACTAGATCCAGATTTGTATCTTTATTTATTGCACACACTAAATATTGTCCGTTTTTTAAATCAAGACCCTGATAATTATTCTCTTATGTGGAAAGAGGCCTGATCTCACAAAGTTAAAGAAATAAATTCTTCCATGGGTCGTGCCACACCCCTCCGCAAGATTTCATGGAAATCAGTTGAGTAGACTAAAATAGAACTGCGTGGATGGAGGTACTTAAGTAGTGTTTACAACTTATGTAAACCCAATCAGACCTATACCAATACATTTACATTTTATTTTGTATTCAGTCAGTACGTATCAATTGCTCCCAGTAAGAAATGACAGTGAGCCAGCATGTACGATCCCAGGACCCCGAAACCGAAGCAGTTAAATAGTAATCAGACAATGTTCATCTTTTTTATTTACCCCTGTGATTTTCTTGTTGGGACATATTTAAATGTCTGATGTGAAAAAAGGTCACAGCTGCCATGTGTCTACACTCACCTGGGAATAAATATATCCTGTGTAATTATAGAGAAATTCTGCATCAATGTGCGGTCCCTTAAAGGTGTGGTTTCTAAACCGCAGCACTTTTAAAGCCTGACAGGATGAGATGTAAGACAACAATAGCCTCTACAGGACTGTACTAAAACTGTCCATAGTGAGAATGTTTAGGAGGTTGTGGGTGGAGGAAACAGGTTTTGAAGTCAATACCAACAATCATTCCAAAGGAATAATCTCAAAATTAGTTAAAATTGTGGGAGTCAGTGTAACGTGCAACTGGTTCTGTACCAATTTTGTGTAATCTTATCTATTCAGTTTATACTGTATTTATTAAACTGTAAAAAGAATGTTGAAAAAAATTAGTGTTATCTCTGATAATTTACCTTTGTGCCATGTAATTGTACGTATGCTATTTACTCATTTTAATATTTATCTTATTATAAATGGCAAAGGAAAAAAAACAAAC